GTGTCCAAAATATCGAAGGACACCGCCTCGCTTGCATGCGGGGCAAAGTACACGGGGACGTCATCAATGCACCAGTCGATTGACTTGTGCGTGTGACCATCTACCAACGTGACTTGCGTAGGCTGGGACTTCCTCCGGACGCGTGGGCCAAGGCCGGCGCGTACCATAAAGTCCTGGCTCATGTAGTTGCGCGATGCTCCGCAATCGATCAAAGCGTTGCAGGTCGCCTCTCCGATCTGAATGCGTACATATAACAATGGTGTGTCGATGTCGTCGTACCGTTGTGTTCTGAACTCGTGGTCGATCTTCGCAATGTAATTGTGAAGGTCGACAACCTCTACTCCGGCGTCCATCAACGGAGTTGGTACTGCAGTGTGCAAGTAATCCCGCGCCATGAGCACGTTGCAATGCGGTTTCGGCAATCGACCAGATCGGGGAAGGGGCATCCATTGGAAGTCCGCAGACGTCAACGGGTCGAGCTCTTCAAGTCTTGACCATGTCGTCGAATCCCCGGCTATAGATGGCGGTGAAGCTGCCGACTCGGTTGCCGATGGTAGTGAAACCGTGCATGCGGTAGATTGTTGCACGTGGACTGGTTGGTCCAACGGTGGGACCAAGTGGACAGCATAGTCCTCGTAAGTGTACCGAGAACTTGCGACATTCGCATCCTCCCCAGATGTGTAGGAGGCCGCTAGCAAGGCGGTCGAATCTGGCGGAGTGAGAGGTGGAGTCGCCTCACCTCCCGTGGAACTCAGTTTCCCGAGTTGATACGAGGCCGTCTGGCGGAGTGAGAGGTGGAGTCGCCTCACCTCCCGCGGAACTCAGTTTCCCGAGTTGATACGAGGCCGAACATCCTCCTTGCCTTGATCCGGGCATTGGGAGGTTTTGTGATTGGTGTCGTTGCACCAATAGCAGCAGCCGTGGCGGTCACACCACTTGTATTCCGCCTCAGTCAAGTGAAACTTGACCCATGGTGTTGGCTGTCCGTTTCCGGCGGGCGATGCGGTTTTCGCCTTCACGTTTCCTCGGGACTTGTTGTTGCTTCGCGGTTGGACAGCAACCACCTGATCTCCCTCACGTGATGCTTGGGTGGTTGTCGGGTCTTCCACAATGTTGTCCGTTTGGACTGCAGCGACATGCTGCGGTCGCGGACCAGTTCTCACCTTCTCCACATAGGTTGGCTGCCACGTTGACTTCTCGTGTGCAGTCGCCCTGTTTGTCTTGATGATCTCCCTCGCCTTGTTGATGATTTCGGCGAAGGTGTTGTACTGCTCACGATCACCAAGCGCGAGGCTCAAAGCGGCGCATGACCGGTTGTAGAACTCCCGACGCAGATGCAAAAATGGCAAGTCCAGATCGGGTGTCGCCACGATCTTCTGCCAATCCGTGAGCCAATCACGTGTCGCTGTGTTTCCTTGAGCCATCGTGAAGATGCGGTTGATGGCGAGCGTCGGGGCGTCGTCAACGATGAACCGCTTCTTCCATTCTTTTGTCAGATCCTCCCAAGAGACCTTGTGTAGGTCGAAGACCTGGACGCCGTGGACGGTTGCCATATGGCTGAGCCAGATCTGGCATCCTCCCTTGGCGTTAAGGAACAGTGCGTCGATGAACAGATGTTCAGGGACCTCATGAATCCCCAACTCTATTGTGAATCCTTGCCACCAGACGACCGGATCTTGATGTGTGTAATCATCAAACTTCTCGATCCGGAACGTCGGCATCTTGTAATGCTTTGCCGTGTTGGTGCTGCGATCGAGGTCAGACGACTGTTGTCGCTGCCTGATCTCGGTCTTCAGTGTGTCCAGCTGCTGGCTGGCGCTGCAAAGGTGCTAATATCACCTAGCATTGCCACTACGTGATCGACGCGTTCCTCCAGTTGGCGGGCAGAGGGTGCACTGCTGGACTCGCCAGCCTCCGAGAGAAGGTTAACAACAGTCGTTTTTTTCATCACCACTTCAGGATGCAGCCTGCCTAAACAGGTGGTTTTCAGGATCTTCGGACCAGGTCTGAAAATCCTGAATGGTCCTGAAGTGGTGAAAACTCCGAAGACCCTGAAAACCACCTGTTTAGGCAGACTGCATCCTCAAGTGGTGAAGGGTGGTTTTCATGGTCTTCGGACCTTTCACCACTTCAGAACCATTCAGGATTTTCGGGCTGCCCATAACTCTCACTTGACCACTTTAGGACACCCTTCACCACTTCAGGATGCAGTCTGCCTAAACAGGTGGTTTTCAGGGTCTTCGGACCTTTCACCACTTCATGGTTTTCAGGGTCTTCGTACCTTTCACCACTTCAGGACCATTCAGGATTTTCAGACTGCCCAAAACTCTCACTTCATAATTTTCCTTCCTGAATTTTCAGCTACCCGATAACCGCTTTGTGCTGCCTCCGGTCTTGGTGCAGTTTGCTCCAAGTCCTGTACACGGGAGTCAAGTGCCCGTGCTGCATCCTCGTGTTGAGCCTTGTGGTTCCGCACGGCCCACTGAAGGTTCGCCAGCTCGGACTGCAGGTGGTTACAAGTGTAAACCAACCGAGTCACGAGTTTGGCCATGAATTCCTTGTGCTGTTCCTCCGGTGTCGCGTCGTCGTGCTCCTCTGATTGTTCAAAGTGCCAAAACTTGAGTTTTTCGATGTTGGTGGCTTCATGCCGCTGTAGCAGATCCTCGGCTTCCTTGCAGCGTGCCTGGGTATCTGCGTCTGCTTCGGCCTGGAGCCGCCGCTTCTCAGCTGTTGCCGCCGCTTCAGCCTGTAGGTGGACAACCTCGGCTGCCACCTGGCGCTGTTCCTCAGCCGTGATCAGTGCGAGCTGAGTCTGGAGCCGCTGTTTGTACTCGGCAATGGACTCGTTGGCCAGTTGGCCTGGCATGCCCAGAGTTGAGCCCGTCATGGTGGCGGGGCACTGCTGACGTGGCACTGTGGCACTGCTGACGTGGCACTGTGGCACTGCTGACGTGGCACTGTTGCTGACGTGGCACTTCTTACGTGGCACTGTTGCTGACGTGGCACTGCTGACGTGGCACTGTTGCTGACGTGGCACTGTACAAACCCGGAAATGCATGCAAAAGGGGTGGGTGGGAGGGAAAACGCAGGTAGGTAACCAACCCAACAATACTTTCCTCCCGGCCCTAATCAACAGATAAATAAATAAATAAAATAAAAAGAAGAGGACTACTTCCTTTTTTTTTTCTTTTTTTTTGTATATCTGTCGATCTGTTATGGGTGAGGCATGTCAGAAGAGTACTATGAGCGAGATCTAGGCTAGGTTCCGCAAAGTTTCGACTTTCACAAAATGAAATCTTGAAAAAAAAATTTGCGAAATAGAGTAGAGATCGATTTTCAGAAAATAACTAAATCCAGTTTCTGAGAATATGGCAACCTCTTAATATGCCTACACAAAATGCTGATAGGCTTCGCAAGATTTCGGTTTTCAAAAAAAAATTTGCGAGATCGATCCGGTTTCCGAGAATATGACCACTTTTATCGTTATCCTAATATGCCTAGAACACGAAATGTTAACATCAGAAATTTTCAGCTATGTATGCAGTCTCAACTTAGGCCCTGATTGTTGCACAAGGACCGCGCCTATGCCATATTGGCTGGCGTTTGTGGTCACAACAAATGGCTTGTCAGGATCCGGAAGTTTGAGAACTTCGTAGTGTGTCAAAGCGTACTTCAATTTCTTGAAGCTTGCTTCACACTCCTCAGTCCACTCCCACGGGGTGTCAAGTCGAGTTAGATCTGTTAATGGGGAAGCTATAGTACTATAGTTTTTCACAAACGGACGACAGTAGCCCCTCATCCCCCAAAACGATCTGACCTCAGTAACAGTTTGAGATCTAGGCCAGTCACGTATGCTGGCCACCTTTGCATCTTTCGGCCTCAACCCATCTGCCGAAATTTCATGACCCTGGTACAAGATCTTGGTGCGACCGAACTCGCATTTCTCCAAGTTAATCTTGTACTGGTGCTGTCTTAGGAGACCCAACACTATATTTAGGTGCTCAGCGTGCTCCTCTGCAGTCTTACTAAAGATGAGGATATCGTTGAGGTACACGACAATAAACTTATCTAAGTAATCATGAAAGATCCTATTCATTGAGTGTTGGAATGTCCCAGGTGCATTGCATAGGCCAAAGGGTATTACCACAAACTCGTACAGACCGTACCTGGGCTGGAATGCTGTTTCGTGTTGGTCCTCCGGTCTAATGGCAATTTGGTGGTATCCGGACTTTAGATCTATCTTAGTAAAGTACCGGCATCCCTGCCCTCTATCCAATAGGTCGTCGATACGGGGTAGGGGCTCTGCGTTTTTAACTGTAATGGCATTGAGACCCCTATAGTCAATGCACATCCTCAGGGTACCTCCCTTCTTAGGAACGAATAGTACTGGAGCGCCGTAAGGGGAGGTACTAGGCCGTATCCATCCCTTCTCTGTGAGCTCCTTGAGCTGGCGGCGGAGCTCATCCAACTCCGCAGAAGACATCCTATAGATTCGTCCTCTAGGCACCTTACTACCTGGGACAACCTCTATTGCATGGACAACCTCCCTTTCTACCACGCCTGTGGGGTCCTAAAAAAGGTCTGAATATTGAGCGACGACTGATTCTATCTCTGGGGGTGTTTTAACGGCCTCCCCTTTCTCAGAGACAAAAACTAAGTACATGCCCTCCTCACGATTCTGTTTATAGCAGTTATAGAAAGAGGAGGCACACATGCAACCGTAGTTTTCCACTAGACTGCTAGCTTTATACTTTTGCAGCCTAACGGTCCTACCGTTTGGAAGCTTGTGTATCAACACCTTTCTATCCCAATCAAACTGAGGTTGAAAAACCTCGAGGTAGTACATGCCTAATAGCATATCAAAGGGCAGTTCGTCGCTAACCAGGAAGGAGATCTTGTGGCTCACTTCCCCTCCTCCATAGGAGAAGGTGACTGCGTCCTTGACATAATCCTTTACTACCATTTGGTGCTTGTTGGCTAGCGTAGAAGCTACAGTTCTGCTAAGCCGCTGCACTTGGTCCCCTAAGCGCAGTCTATCCACACGAGCACGACTGATGAAGTTTCGTGTAGAGCCTATGTCTGCGAAGGCGCCAACCTTGCGGCCACCTACATCAACCTCTACCACGAAATGTTCACCCTTTGGACCTCTACTGATCATCGCCCAAGACTCCTTGGGGTCCTTCCCTGACCACTCAGTCTCTAACTCTTCTAGGGCCTCAGACACATCTCTCGAACAGAGAGTCGGGGGGTCTGAATGTGTCTGCGGGCCGATGTATGGGTCACTAGCCTTAGCCAACGCCTGAAGTGGGGAAGGTAACGTAACCACTTCAGCACGAGTAAGAGCGGCTAACACTCCTACTGGCCCGAGGAGTTTCCCTCCGAAGTGCTCGCAGAAGCACTTCGAAGATAAGCCCACCACTGTTGGTGATGCTACCTTCGTTGTGACCTTTTTGCCTCGGCATGTCCGTGACGTGTGGCCATAGTTGCCACAGTTCATGCATGTGCTCCTGGCAACTCAGTCCCTCCACACCTCGTAGTCTAAACCAATTTTCACCCATGCGGGTGTCCCTTGGTCGCCCTGACCCGTGGACCGTACTACCTTCTTCTTCCCGGTCCCCTTAGCCTTTTCCTTCATGGGTGCCACGACTCCCCCATCCGAAGTCTCACTAGCCCCATCGTGCTCTGTCACCTCCCCAAGGTCTGGGAAATTGTCAATCTCCGTCGTTTGACCACCATGGTCAACGAACATCAACTGACCCTTCTTCTTCCAGTCCTGGGGAAGTCTCTTTCTATAATCATGAGCTAGCTGATGCGCAGATCCCAGCTTTGCCTCTATGTCCAGAGCTTTCTTACTAAAAGTAGCGAAGGTGTGCTGTTCGACATAAGCCTCATCAACCAGCTTGGTCCTTACCTCTGCAGGTAGGCACCTTAGGTAATCCGTTATGAGAACCTGCTGGTCAAAGCGCACACCAGGTACCACGAGTAAACGTTCTACTGTGTCCGTTAGCTCTCTAACATTCTTGAACCTGTGGGAACAAAAACTGTTGATAGCATCGGTGGCCTTCTGAGCCCCTTGCGGGTCATGCCACCTGTTATACACGGACCATACGAACTCTTCCAATGTCTAGGTCTGTGCCCAGGCATCGAAGTTTTGACCGTAGCCCTACTGCTGCACTAAGCCATTCAACCAGCGGGCTGCTGACCCCTCTTCTTCCTGCTCTGGCCTGGTGAGCTAGTGCCTCACATAAGTAGGCACAGTCCTCACCCAAGTGTCTAAGTCCTCATCCTTCTTCCTATTGCCAGAGAAGGGGCTTGCTGCAACGGCTGCATAGCCACTGAAACAGGTTGTTGCACACTAACCTGGGCATGGCTTGACAGTGGGACTGTAGTGACCACTGTCGTAGATGGTACGGCTGAGACTCTATGAACCGGACCACTAGTTGCTACTAAGCCACCTGGAGGGGGCATGCCAACCATAGGAGAGAAAGTTGGCCTTGTGGGTTGCGGCATCGACGAAGGACCCACACCCGCAGGGGGAACTACAGCAAATTGTGGCTGCCTCATCATTGTACGAGGAGCCCGAAGTTCAGCCAGGATTTGTTTCTGGCCTGCTACCAATTCGGCCAGGAATTCCTGCTGGACATTTTGCGCTTCTACCACTAATAGTAAAGCATTACGCAGCACAAGGACAGCAGTATCTAATGCCGCCTCATCTAGCCCTTCCAGTTTGCCTAGCTCCCGCACTCTACTTCCTAGTCTAGCCTTTCTGAGTATGGCTCTTCTTCTCCTCTCTGTTGCTTCGTCCAACTGCTGCTGCAGCTCATCCTAAAGTTCTTCTACCTGTCGGATTTCTAAATCCTCCGGTGTGAATGGACTCTGCTGGCTGACTTGCAAACCAGCAGACTGACTAACTGCACCCGATCCACCCTACCCTGCTCCTGACGAAGAAGTCAGGGAAGAGGTTTGTGACGTAGAGGCGGCGGTAGCCATCGCAGCCGCTAAGTTGGCTGTTGCGTCCCTAATCCTCCTCGCTGCTACCCTCTCCCTTGCTTCTCTTCGTAGTCTCCTTTCCTCCCCTGGAGCTAACTCCTGGAAAGTGATTGGTTGACTAAGAGCGGTTCTCTGTGTGATCCTAAGGGGTTGCACTAGCCTTCCCTCCTCCTCACTGTCGTCTTCACTCATGAGCTACAGTGTGTGTGCTCTAAACTAGAATTCACACTGAATCATACCTTAGCATGACATACAACCGCATATGATACACAACTACTTACGGTCGGCCTGAACAGAAACAGTTAGGTGATGTAATTGCGACTAATGTCAGGTCCTACAGGATATATTAAATCTATTTTTAGATTACTTTAATACAGATACCATTGCAGCAAAGACCTAGTCTGTCCGTAGCTATCTGTCAGTTGTTAGTCAAGTCTGTAACAACTAAATAATCAAAACAGAAATAACATCTCCTGTTGGAGATGTACAGTGGACGGCAGATTATCTGTTGATTGCCACTGCGAACAGTTACCAGAATCCCCCCCTCCCCCTATGTCCTTCTTGATTGGTCGCTTTGTGTCAACGTCCTGAGCATCTGGTTGAGCAGCGTGTCTAAAGGTGTGCAATCCGGCCCACCCCTGTGCCCCAAGTCAACGCCGAACCTGCCAGCCCCTGCACTTTATTTATCCTCGCATGCAACCAGCCTTCCACCTGGTTTGATCTGGCTGATCAAGAGGGATTTAAGGAGAGCCCCCATCTCCTGAGGAATTATTTAACGTCACAGACAGAACGACGATCACAGCCAGGTTCAACACCAAGTCCGCAGCCAGAAATATTTAAAGATGGTCTGGTAAGCGTCTGTCCAAAGGGTTGGCATGCCCTGCATGACCTCTATTGCGCAAGCAGCGGAACCAAGGACTTGCTGCCAAGCATGCGTGTACTAGTCYCAGMGGGTTGGCATGGTGACCGTGACCCGAGGGCTTCGTCCAGGGCCCTTCAGAGGCTTCGCCCGTCTCCCACCAGCTTGCTGCCCAGGAAGAATGTYGAYTCTCAAGGTTGAGCGCTCGCGACACCTCACATCGAGAGGACTCTCAAGACAAAACTCACTTCCTCACGGTAAGAAGTAATGAAGAGGGTAGATAAGGAAGAGAGCAACGTACCTCATAATGCTGTCCCCAACCACAGATTTCTCACTGGCAACCTGATGTGCAATTTTGATGACCGGTCTTTGCCTCGGCACAACCAACAGCAGAATGCAGTTCCGCCTCGGCTTAATATGCCACATCAGCGAGCTCTCATCATCCAGCATACATCCCGTATGTCACCACATAGCTCCCTGGCGCGCCCACTCTACCCTGGGCCGCCTAATGTTCAACGCCAATGCCTTATCACTGCCCCACACCTCATGTGAAGCACCAATAGTTATTGCGAAGAACCAATGAAGCGCAATATGAACCAGCTCAGATACCAAATTGCAAGGAAAATAAGCAACAGCGAGATGACAATTCCAGATTACACCATCACATTGAAAGCCAGGTAGTCACACCGTGTCCAGAGAGCAGCATTGCACCAATAATACACCAATGGAGGTTCATAGTACTGAAAACCAATGTCATGGAGAGCATACTCTCTCCTCATCAACACAAGAGTCCAGTCCCTTCACTCTCCTACTTAGCGCTCAGCGCCCAGCCTACTCCTAACACAGCTACTACAGCCTACTAATTGACAATGCAACTGTTAACATCAGCAGCAACCCGACGTACTTGAAGATGTCGCCCATGCAGACCATTGCCAATACAAGGTAAGTGCCCTCACATCATCATCATCATCATCCTTCACCTATCCCCTGACTTTACTCCCACGTCTGTCCTCTCTTACACCTGAAGACCACCCCTGCGCCTCACTGTAGACCAAGCCCACCAGCTATGGTGGCTGGGCTATGGCGCTACCCTCAGCAGCGCCCTTCTTCCCTGCACGACCGCACGTGCTGCACCTCGCCTCTCAGCGCCATCCAGCAGCCGCGAGCTCTTGCTCCAGCAGCGCTGCCGCTAGCATGCGAGTGCCTGAATGAGGCTGCCAGCGGAGAGCTCTTTCCTTTATGGAAAGAGCTGGCCTGCTCGTCCAGCCTGGCTGCACTGGCCTGGGCCCAGAAGCTTCCGGAAGGGCCCAGGAGGCTGCCTGTGTTCAGCAGCTACTGGGCTGCTGGGCCTTGTTCGGTTGGGCGCCCAACTGTCTCTGTATGAGGCTGCGAATCACGCCCAGGGCCTGCATTCTTTGGAAAAGCCCGGAGGTCCGTGGAAATGTCTTTGTTTCCCGGCCTGAGTTTCTTTCAACCAACTGGCGCGTCGCAACTGCCTGGACCCCAAATATGAAATTGACAGTCGAGGGCCTCTTGCGATAGGTTAGGCCCGCCTTCACTTAGGGTGGGCACCTCCGCCTTCACTTAGGGCGGGCAATGCTGCAAACAGGGCCCCTTAGGCCTACCGAGGACCCTGATCCTCGCAATTGGCTATGATTACGTATGCATCCATGATTGAGTATGTATGCATGCATCTTCATCCCAGCACCGGTAGCACATCCCTTGCCTCAGTGAGCCCTCCAGTCCATGATTTGTGATTGACTATGATTATTTATGCATGCATCTTCTTCTATACTTCCTGCCATCTCCATACTCAGTCCATAACTTGTGTTTGACTATAATTATGTATCTTCCATGATTGGCGATGATTATGTATGCATGCATCTTCCTCTGTCCCTCCTGCCATCTCCATACTTAGTCCATAATTTGTAATTGACGATGATTGTGTTAGCAATACTATGTATGCATGCATGATTTACTGTGCTTACGTGTGCATGCATTTTCCTGTATCCTTCCTGCCATTGCTGGTTCCTTACCAAAATGCACAGCAGGAAACTTGCTTTGACTAGTTCGTCGAAGTCTCCTGTCACAGCATGGAAATGATAGTGACCTGCAGTTTTCCATCAAAGACCAATATGTTAATGGAGTCTGATTAGCTCAAGAGCTGTGATCAGCAGGTGCCTCCAGGGGACAATGGCAAAGTTAAGGATGTGCTCCTTGTGGACAAGAATCAAATACTAAAAGTCTGAAACACTCCAATAGCCATCTTTTCCTTTCATTACCCCCGACGGTCATAATATGATTCCATCACATCAAAGTTCATGTAGGATAGGACCAGATTCAGATTAGGTACTGACTAATCCAGCTTGCCACTACAGGACATTACAATCAGTGGAACACACATCTTCAATGACCATTAACAATTTAGAAGACAGCAATAGTCAGTGAACAGAGCAGAAAGGGCAATGGTGACATCTTACACTGGCCAATTACCATTCAATGCATTCATGGAAAACTATATTCATACTCATATACGAAGCACCAACAACAAAGACACATCACGACGTGCAACTGAAGTCCTTACCAAAAGAAAAAGAAACATTCCTTGAGATCCCGTCCCTACCTCGTCACTTGCTCCACCTCCGCAGTCGAATCTGTGCATGCGTCCAGACTCATCAATTCCGCAATCTCGCAGCCGTCCCTACAGTCTAGTCAACGCAAACGAGCACACTCGTGCACATCAGGCCAAGCAGTCAAGCGAGCTTCCACGCCCTTACAGTGAAATCTGAGTGAACACACACCCGTGTATTTCAGTCCAGGGGAATGCACTCTCGGACTTGCAGGTCGATCTGCAAACCTGCACACCCGTGCGCATCAGTCCAAGCAGGCTAGCAGTCGTGCGCACCCTCGTGCTTACGGTTTGATCTGCACGACGTGCATGCCGCAGCGATATCGAGCCATACGGGCAGTGTGCATGCTTTTACATTATCATTCACAACAAGTAAGCTTGCACACTCACATTCTCAATCCGAGCAGGTGAGCACGCATGCCCACACACTCTCGATCCGAGCAGGTGCGTGAGCACATCCACACGCTCTCAATCTACACGCGTGCTGACAATCTGACTCTTGCAATCGTAAGACACTTCGACTGGTGCGCACAAACTGAGTAGTCCCGCGAGCACTAAGTGTGTGACTGAACAGGTGCAGGGGCTTGTCCTGAATGGACTAATCGTAAGGAGGAAGAGAAGGGGGTGGACGAAGAAATCGAGCGGAACAGGAAGGGATCAGGTTGTAGGCGGGGCAAGGACTAGACTGACCGTTCTTTTGAAGTGGCCAACACCTGGTACCTCCACGAGTAGCACCGTGACTTCTCCTACTTCGGCTCTCGCACAGAGCTGTCCTTTGGGCCCTCTGGTAGCGACGCTGCTCTCATGAAATGGAGCAGGTATGCCTAGATGTACCAGAATTTGCAGAGAATTAAACAGCAGATTCAAACAGACATTACAACACAATGGAATGGAGTGAAGGAATGAATTGCATACCTCCACTGCAAAACTGAGATCCAACAAAACCTACATCAGTTCAGTAACAGCTGGCTTGGGGGTCCCGGGGATGGAAAGATTAGGATGATAGTGGAACAGGCAGAATGTCAGATCCCAAGGGGACCTCATTAGAGACTGTCATCTGGCCAAAGTGGACCCATCCATCCCGCTCAGTCCCCTCTCAGACTTCCCCGACCCATTTCCTCCCCCTTCCCAATGCCTGGTAGAATCGGGCTAGTCTGGTCTAGATGAAGACCCAAGTTCTGCATGCTAGGGTTTAGGATTTTGGAAGACTTTGAAGGGTCACAGAGGCTTTCATAACACAGGGACATCTATCAGGACTGGAGGGGCCGCTCTGCAGTGGCCATTCAAGGTACTAGCAACCCAAGTCAGATCTGGCACCCACCAACAGGGTGAAGAGGCACAGGCAATAGTAACATCTCTGAGCCTAAGCAGGCTGCACTTGCCTGTTACACAAACAATGTATCATCAAGGACGCTGGACCCGTTTTCCAGTAGGTGCAGCTCCCCACTGATAGACGGAGCCAACACTGGGACCCGCTTCAGGAGGGTGCTCTTACCACCTCGTTAAGCGCCCTCCCGAGACTAAAGATAAAAAAAAAAAGGCACTGCAGCCTCCCAAGTAGCTGTGCAGTACTTCACCGTCTTGGATAGCTCACTCCTTCCTCCCTGGCTCTTGCCCGATCCCTGTCCTACGGTGGACTGCATAGCTCATACTCTAAGATGCCCTGGTCCCAAACTGCAGTCCTTCACACAACTCTTCATGTGATGCCTGTCTCTCTCCTTCTCCGATGAGACTGGTCCCTCCTTTTATAGCGAAGGGGCCAAGCCATTGCCGAGTCCCACAGCTCGAAGCTGGTACCGGTCCCAAAAAGTCCCGAGCTAAAAATAAATCGGGATCGACTGGGACAAGCCTGGTTCAGAATCCTAAACAGTCGGACCCATGTTAAAAATAGTGCAGGATCTGAAAATAGACTGGTCTCCTGCTGAAAATAAGGCAGGACCTAAAAGCAGACTGGGCATGCACTAAAAATAGCACAGGATTTAAAAATAGCACGGGCCTGCACTAAAAATAGCGCAGGGTTGGGATAGGCCCAAGTCACAAAAGACTGGCTGGGGGAACCAATAGAGCAGTCCTTGGAGGAAGTGAAATGGCCAGGGGCAGAAGAGACAGAGGGACCTCTCAAGAAGAATTTCCAACTGGTCTTCCGCAACTGGTTCACGCTTCCGCCTAGAGCTGTTCTCGGGGACCCTTTTTTTTTCCAGATCCATTCCCCCCTCTGAACTAGCCCTGGTAGAATTACAATGGTTTGGCCAGGGAGGAAACTGATTGATTTCTTTTTTTGGTTGAAAGGGGTACAGAATATCTAGGAGGGAATGATAAATCTGGCAGTCATAGGAGGGATAAATCTGGCAGTCCTAGGAGGGATTGTTTTGTTCCTCCCTCTTTTTTCTTTTTAAACTTATGGTTGTTGAAGCAATATTTCGATGATGTTCACAGGACGCTGGACCCGATTTCCAGCAGGTGCTGCTCCCCACCAATAGATGGATACGACCATACCGTTTCAGACCCAAATGGTCACTCTTTTTTTTTTTGTTTGTTTTGGGGGGGGGAGGGGGACAAATGCTCCAGTCTATTCGTGGGGAGCAACACGTGCTGGGAACCGGGCCCAGCGTCCCATATAGAATTATACAAGTCATTTGAAATACCAGGGCCATTACCTGGCTTCAGCTGAGAACAATCTGAGAACTATTAAAGGAGTTCAGGAAAATTTAGGAAAAACATGGATAACTGCTGACCTATTGCTAGGCTACTCAAGCAGCTGTTACGATCCTGGCCAATTTCGAAGTATACATTCATCTGAAAGTACAATGCCATCCAATTGCAAAAAGAAATGAATGAACTTGAGAGGAGAGAGAGGGAAAGAAGAAGAAGAAGAAGTAAGAAAGAAGAAGAAGATGATGTACTCCAGCATAGACCAATGACAAGGCTCTTCTTCTTCGCCAACCAATCTCTTCCTCCTTATCACCTCCCCTCTTATTCAAACAAGAAATAACAATAATAATGTTGAGCGACTGAACCAGAATCAATGTCCGAATCCCGCTTCTACTGCAGGCACAACATGAGGTCCACCATAGCCATGGCCACCCTTCCTCTTCCTCTACATACAGGCCGAGGCTATGGCGGAGCACTGAGGGCTCTCCCTCCTGTCCAAAGGACAATCCAAAGCAGCTATGTCGCTGCCCTTCTGTCCCAAGGTCAACACCACGCAGCTATACCGCTGCCCCACTCAACTGCCATGCCTGACTCTGCCCCGAGCTTCCTTGATGCGGCACTACCCCCACTGGGGCCTTCCAAATGCAGCGCCTAACAAGGTGATGAAGATGGTGTCTGCCATAGCCAGGTAAGTACCCCACCACCTCTCCTCCTTGGTCCCCTTCTCCCTCCTCCTGCTACCGGTAGAGCTCCACCATAGCCAAGGTGGAAGCTCCCGGCTTCTTCCTCCCAAGCTGGAATGTAAGTTTCTATGCACTTGGTTTATGATAGGGTAGAGAACATAGCTGGTTTGGTGATGCATACAAAGACTTACGAGTCTTGCGCTCGCTTCCGCCATTCAGAGCGTCAATTGACTCTTAGCGGGAGTAGATCGGGCCATTTGGGGCCCTTCGAGTAATCGCTACGAGAGGACAATCGAGATTCAGTGTTTTCTTATGAAGTTTGTGATATGGGACGAGGATTTAACTTCGGTAGGGCCTATTGGAACATTTGATGAACGCATGCGTGCTCTTACTCGGGGAAGATTACGTCCTGAAGTTCACTGTGACGGGATAGTTTTCCCCTACACTTCAATTCCTATTATATGATAGGGTAGCATGCGTAGCCGGCTTAGGTGATGCATACGAAGGTTTAGGGATCGTATACCCCGTCTGTCGTTCATAGTGTCAGCTTACACATAGCGGGAGAAAATCAGGTCTTTTCGGGGCATTTCCAAGTAATCGGGGCAAGGAGAGGACGATCAGGACTCAGTGTTTTTCTTATCAAGTCTTGTACGGATCTATATCAGACGAGGTTCTAACTTCAGTAGGGCCTGTCGAAACATTGGATGAATGCATGCTTACTCTTACCCGATAAGAGTGCGCTACGAAGTTCGCTGTGACGAGATAGTTTTCCTCAGCCCCCTAGACGATATGATTTTTGCTTCCATCTCGATCCTTACCTCGGAATACGGTGACCTTTAGCGGATTGTTGGTCGTATGATATACTAACCCTTCGAAGGTCCTCCGTGACAGTGATAATCGATAGGCGAGAATACCCACGATACTAGGACCCTTTTTTCGGAACCAAAGTAACTGGTAAACAGCTTAACCGGTCACTCCGGCTCGTTTTGATACTAGTGATGTCGTACACTGCACGTAGGGGCCGACACTACGGTGACAAGGAAGAAAACCACTAAGGCAAGGACCTGATTCACTTCCGTTCTTGCAATCTACTCTTGTTCTTTAGTAGACGTGGTTGCAGTATTTGGAGCTGATACACTCGGATACGATCCATTCCGTGTCTAGATATATATTGATATATCTATATATAAGGAATCCTGAAGGTGTCCCTTTCATCCGAATGTGGAGTTGTTCAATTGATATTACTCGGTGATCCGGTTCGTCCGTATACGGACAGAGTAGCCATCCTTAACTCGCGTGTTTGCTTGTTTTCCACATAGGCCTATCAAACGAGGTATGAAACGATTTCAGGATATGATAAGTACGCTACTAGTGGGCATAGGACTTATTTGCCTCGGTCTAGGACTCGTAATCTGTGGTTCACTGTTCCTCTAACCTCGAGATGTCAACGAGGTGTGTCTATTGCGGGTGACGCCACTCTTTTCACACCTTCGTTCGGTTACGGAAACGTCTTACTACCCTGCTTTCTAGATATATCAGCAAACCATTCGGCCAGTGTTCTACCTGGCACGTTTTATTGAAGATCCGACGGTGAGGACAAAGATTTACTCGAAGATACAGGGGGTTCAAGATCCGTAGGATATTATTTCTGCTACGTTCTAGGAGGCATATTAATTACAAGGAGGTCATTGAAATCTGGAGAGCTTAGGCACTATTAATTTCCTCCTACCAACCGGTCTAAACCATTCTTACTAAGGAATTACCTCACCTCACACCCCCAAGCTCCGTTCACACAGGTGCGAGACCACTGGCACGGGCATTTCAATGTAGACAGGGAGGCCCTTAGACCTATCCATGGTTCCAACGTACACAGCCAGGCCAGCAAAGTTTGCATCCCTGCAATTATAGCAGATCGTGCACTGCTGCCTCCCCACTAATGCCTGGCTGATCGATCACTCCAGGTTGGAACAAAAGGGGGTTGCATGGCCATGGTGCAGGGCATGTGTGGAAGCCTTCCCCTCATGCAAGATAAATGAAACTCTCGAGCATGTTTTCCTGCAGTGCCCAGGGGCCATCCTCACGTGGCGGTGGTGTGAACAGATCTGGCGACAGCTGGGCACTGCTCAGAACTGTCCATGGGTCTGGAAGGCCTTGCTGTGTGGTCATTGGCCCACGCCCACCCAAAACGGCTCCTTTTGTGGAAACATGTTTAAATTGGGATGAAAGGCGGCCCTTTGGTCCCTGTGGTGGAGGCCGTGTACGCGGGCCATCAAAGGGCCACGGGTGGGGAATGGGGAAACAAGTGGGATGATTTGCGACCTCAGGCTGGTGGAACTGGAGACCAGAGCGCGCTGGGAGAAAGTTAGAGCAAACCTAAACCATATGACACAGCATGAGGACCTCACGAAGATAGTTACCGAATTCTGCAATGATTGGCTGGGAGGGGAAAGGTGTGGATGGATAGCCACGGTGGAGTGGCCGGGTTGGTCAAACCAGGGGAGGGAACCTTGCCCAAGGGATTTCCACCTGTGTTTCCGTTATTGGAGGGAGATGGACTCAGCTATACAGATGAAACCGCCTGAGGAGTTCCCCAACCTCTTCCCCATACATGATGATGCACTGGTGGAAATAAATGGTTTGGGAGGGACGAGTAATATCCAGCTGGCCCCTGGAGGTGTTACATTGTTCTGTTTTTCCCTCCCCCTTGACTCCTGTCTCCACTGCAAATCTGGTGTGGGTGTTCTTTTTCGCAAAATCATTAGATAGCCAATCATGCCTGTGCAGTTATCCCCCAGACGCGCAGGGCAATAAATGCTGGCAGGTCATAGTCCTATACTTCATCATGGTTATGTATCCCTTGTTCATGGGGCACTGGGTCCGTTTCCCAGCAGGTGTCGCTCCCCACCAATAGATGAACCCCCCCCCAAGGGTGCTAGAAGTGTCTGCTCTTACCAGGGCTTCTAGCACCGGAGAGGATGCACCGGAGAGGGATGTTTTCAGAAGGAAAAAAAAAAAGTTCCGTAATTTCGTATATTCCCCTTGCCTCCTTCTTTTGCATAGGAGCATTATTACGCCCATGCTTAATTCGGGCCTGGTCTTCCTTCTTCTCATACCTGCTGTAGGAAGGAAAGAGGTTAACACCACCGCTTGATTATATCGGGTTTCTTTGCTTCTTTTGGCACTGAGCTCCGACGAAGCCCCAGACATTGCTGGTTCTAAGAGCTAGGGGAGCAAGATCCTGCCCGTAAAACAGCCTGGATTCATAGTAGCTTCGCTCAAACATACCGCCAATGAGGCCCGTCCCTGAATCTCACTGCCGTTCGGCTCGCGCTCCTCAAATGTCATTCCGGCCCTAAGACTTCCGCTCTTCAGGACCTTTGCCGACTCTATTCCTAACCTCCATTCCAACCCATTCCTAGCCAGTCGCAGTAATTTTATCCTTACTTCGGCGTGTAATGCTAGGCATTTCGGACCGTACGATGGTCATCCCAAGCCTAAGCCCTCCTCTGCTCTTCCAAGCTATGGCGAGTCTATTCTGAAACTCCACATGCGCCTTGTCCATAAAGCAGTCAGTTTTAAAACTTGCCCATCACCCCAGCAACCCTCTCTCTCTCTCTCTCTCTCTCTCTCTCTCTCTCTCTCTCTCTCTCTCTCTCTCTCTCTCTCTCTCTCTCTCTCT